AAAATAGGCAGTATTGACTTAACATACAATATCAACTTATATCAACAAAATGTAGTCAAAAGGCCAATACACCAACCTTTCTAATATATTGAGGTATTAACATACATATATCGAATAACCACTTCCTCAACCAAATTTTTAAAAAGCCAAAATGGAGGGTATAATGATCAGGTTTGTTACAAACTGAAACAGCTGTTCACTCACAAACCCCAGTCTCTCATTCTGGTGCATTTCTTCAAGCTCCAGCAGAGACAAGGTGGGGAGATGATGCATAATCACTTTCTCCATGCTATAGATGTTCCTGCTACCCAAAATGGATGCTATTAGGTCTGTATTTTCTTGGCTTCCTCTGGACCCTTCTAAAAAATAGTAATAACCACTCCAAATTTCTCACTTTCATGAAAGAGGCCAATTTTAGTGACAAACTGCATGTTATCATTAGAGGATCGACAATTTTACACATAAGGGTTTTTTTTTTTTTTAAGAATTCTTGGGTTTATGCCATCCACTCATAGTCACATGTTAGTTTTTAATTTATCAGTGAGATCTAAACATTAATGTCCTATAATTTCTATTTACCCTTCATATGCCCTCTGGGCATGGTTCAGGCATACATATATATCCTAACATTTTTCATAAGTGGTGCAAAAAAATTCATCCAGGTGCTCCTCAGTTTCACTATTCTTTTTCAATATTCCTTTCAAACATTCACTGTCTAATGGGACCTCACTGGCTGGTTTTTGGTTTCTAATTATTTTAAGGCTAGACCTCTTATTGATTGTGATGAATTTTGGCATTACATTGCCAGTCAATACCTCAATTAGCCAGCTACCCTTCTCTTATATATATTCTGTGTAGCAAAAGATACCAATTATATGAAGTGGACGGTATCCATTAAAATTTATGCATTACTCTTTAAGGTGGCACAAGACTCAGTGTTAATTTTGCCTGATAATAAGAACACTGATGGGATACAAGCATAGGTTCAGAAGTGAGTAGGGATGTGTGGATTTTGTTAAATCGGTGTTGACTCTGCTGTTGGGTATCTTTTGCTCAGTCATTAGCAAAGTGACAACTCAGATTTTGTTTCAGTTTCTCAAACTTGCTTTTATGTTGAAAAATGTATGTTTGCACAAATGTGCTCTTGTGCAAAAGTGACGTGCAAATTTCCTTAGAATATGCATGTTCCATGCATTTACCTATTTTGGAAAATGAGTATTTTCACGTGATGGTTTTAAAACATTTTAATAGCATGGCTAAATCTGTGTTCAAATTTGTGTTCTGTAGAATTCACAAGACTCAGAAAAGTCAGTACACTGGGGACTCTGCAGGTCAGATTCACAGATATCCCGTCTCATTTGAATCTGTTGCAAATTTCTCTGACACCCTTACATGGAAGTGGTAAGTGATTCTATGCAGTTCATGGCACAACTTAGAACATGAATCCTGATAAGCACAATCCTGTACATGACTCAAGTCCACTAAGTCAAAAGCTCTGATGCCCATGTAAATGCATACAGAATCATAACATCATACAGAATCAATCAATGTTCTATGATACATATGAGTTTTCTTTCACAACCATTTTTGCAAACATCTTTTTATAAAGCTGCATTCATTCATAAAGTCGCATTATTTAGTCATACTAAAAAGGCCCACCAGAGTGTAAGGCACAGAATGCCTGGTGGTTCTTCTACATAATTACGTAGGACAAAATAGACCATGTGAGGCCAATACTGAAGTGCACTACAGGCATGATGGCCACTTGTAATGATTGTTAGAACATGCCACTCCTAACTGGCATATTACCAATTCCTCTGGATCTATCACAATACAATCCTGTACACCTTCTCAGGTATAAGTCCCATTTATTTAATTAAGCTTAGTCCCAGATAAATGGATATAGTATTACAGCCTTAAATGATACAAATACGCATAAACAACTGAATTGTAGCATACACTTTCTGAGGTCTTTGTAGGACATCCCACCTGAGTTCTCAGAGTTATATTCTGCAATATATTCTTAATCAGAAAGAAAAAGGACATGACATTATGCTGAGCTCAGATTTGGGGCCATTCAGATTCAGATTCATGCACTAGATTTCTACACTGTTCAATGGCCAAAGCTCTCTAGCCAATATACAAGGACTTTAAAAACCTTTAAAATACAATATCGTAACCTAATATAAAAACCATTTACATGCAATACACAGATCAACACATACACAATTTTAACAGTCAACATTGGTTAAAATTGCATGTGTATCTCTCACTCTTTGCATGTATATCTGAGTTCATAACCCTGCCAGGTGCTGTCAAATACCAGAGAATATGAGAAGGTCTTAACCTGACATGAAAAATAATAGTGTTGGTGCCAGGCGGGCTTCTCTGGTGAGATCATTCCATAATCTTGGGGAAGGAGGGAATGCACATGATTGTAATGCTAATAAAGTTAAAGACAGATATCAACTCAGCATAGTTAACATACCACTTTGTGAGGCATATACTTGTGAAATTAACATATAAATAATATATAAACACTTACAGTCTTAAAATCCAGATATGCTGGATTGTAAAGTAAGACACTTGAAACTAGCAATTTGCCTTGAAACACATGTTTCTTACCCAAATTGTGTATTACTAAGCCTCACTTGTTACAATACATATATTCACATTCACTACAAAATTGAATTACAGGCCTCTGGACAGATAATACTTTGTGTGATGTTAAGCCCAGCTCAAAACATTTGATTAAAAGTCTTGTTTCACTAAGGAGAAGTCATATTGCTTCTGAAGCAGAGCCAGGATAAAATTATTCAAGTCGTGTAAGTTCTAAAGACCTTATTAGCACCAATTTCACCCTACATGTTTCAGCAAGTGATCTTTGAGAACTTTAGAACTTGTTCCTTCATTGTCCATGTGTTGATTTTAAAAGGATCATTTTGATTGCTCACGTACTACCTGCTCAGCATCTGACGTTGCAGTTCTGAACTTGCTTAGTAGGGTATAAAGCTCCATTGAACTCAGTAGGACTTAATGGTTAGACATATTCAATGTTGCAGTATAAGTATTTCCTTTGCTTAAGATAATGCCTTAGGCTGCAATACTATGCACACTTACCTAGGAGTAAGCCCCATTGACCACAGCAGGACTTTTGTGTGAGTAAACAAGCATAGAATTAGACTGACTGTTAACTAGAAAACAAAAACTCAAAGCAGTTACTGTAGAGTACATCTCAAATCCAGCTATTCATACTATTACATAACCAAACTCTTACTCAAAGTTATATTATATTCTATGTCCTAAGCTAGCAATATTATAGATACTTACCTAGGAGTAAGCCCTATTGAATACACTGGACGTTTCTTTTAAATAGAGCTTGCTGTAAAAGAATTTAAAATTTTGCAGTGCTTTTAGGAAGAAGAGACAGTTCTAAAAAAGAGTGATGTCTTATAAATGTAAAGCTCCTTTAAAGTGGCAGCTTGATTTAGAGCACTTCATAACTTTTTTAACACATTAAAAAAAGCTGTACTGCAAATGTCAACAGCAGGGTATCAATCAACAATTTGATGTGCATTACTGTGTCTTCTATTGACCAAACTAATTTACAGACATTCAATATGTGGAGGGGATATAACATGCTTGAGTGATGGCCCTTGAAATTAAGGATATTAATATAACAGTTGATATATAGTGCTGCCTGGAACATTCTGATGCAAGTGATAAACAAGCTACAAGATAAAACATTTCTATATTTTTACCTCCCTCAGCCTTGTATATATATGAAATGTTTAAAATCTATAAGGAACAGTTTGCAGGAAGACATACAGCTTTTCCTAATTTATTAGTATCCATGATTTAAAGTTTTGCATTAAAGCAACTCTCTAAAAGGCACTTAATTTAATGCAAGTCTTATTTTGGTTTACGAGCCATACATAAACTTAACGAGTTGAAAATTATGACAAAAAATATAGGTTATATTAACTGCTCTTAATCTCAGATGACAGAGAAGACCATAAACTAGAGATATTTAAGAGCACATTATGACATCAAGCAGAAAGACTGGTCCATGTACCCTGGGTGTGCATGTGTGTGCTGCCATTCTACACAGACGATGTTCACTACAGAAATATCCAGTCAGTGAAACGACTGGGCACTCAGAAGTGTTACTTGAGTAATGGGGAGACAAAAGGAACTCAGAAGTGTTGCTAGAAGGGGAGACAAGTGCAGGAAAAAAAGCATAGAGGGCTGTATTGAACAGACAGGATGTTCAGCTTGACTTAAGATGCCCACAGTCAAATTCTCATTCAGCTGAGAAGTTTTGTGGGCAGCCCAGAGGGCTCATCTCCAAGCTTTACCTATCTTTCTGGGTCAGTTTGAAAATAAGGGAGATAATCCTAAGGCACATTGTACAATGAAGAGTGCTTTAGAAATCATTATTGATCTGCCCCCATTTCCAAATATAATGTAGTTATATAGGTACCGTATTAAAGTGATTAGATCCAAATGCATTCTGTATGCTACAACTGATAACAGAGTTCTCATCAGACTTTTATAAGCATTCTTAGGTAAGTACACACCCATGTCCAAACTTTGAGGATCAAACTGAGTCCTGCTACAGGCAATGGACTGAGTGTCTACCGGAGAAGCAGATTTCATCTCACACTTTGTAAGCACAAAAGTCCAATAAATTAGATTCTGGAAACTTTCTTGCCTCAGGACACAGCCATCCTTCTTCCAGGTTTCTGTCATGAGTAGCACAAACCATACCAATCCTCAGTACCACGACGACTTCCTTGAGGGTTCTTTTCATGTGTGTACATCATTCACACAGAAACAGGTTCAAGTTAGAAGATGCATCTCTGCTAAGAGCCAGCCCAGCTTTTTATAGCAACTAAATAGATGCTCTAAGTCTCCGCTTAACATACACACAAACGCTCACTCAGGCACATGCATCTGTCTTTGCTCCGGACCACTCCGGATCTGATTCGGCCACTTACCTGCTGCTCCCCTAGCACGGAGGATTTCACCAGGTGTTTCTCCCTGTACAGAGACCAGAGTCCAATGTTTGGCAGAAAAATTAGAGTCACCACGAACAACAACGTCATTTGCAGAAACCTCTTCTGTTTTCTCTTCATGGCCAATGGCAGTGGATGCTGGAGAAGGACCGAGGTGAGGTGTATTCTTTTCTGCTTCCTTCGTGCTGCTGGCGACGGGGAATACTTCCTTTCTTACCCCTCTTTTCTTTCCGATTCAACCCCAAATAATGAACAGAAACTTCCGTCTCCTCGCCAGCTTGGTCACCCCTTCACGGGGGGAGTTTGTAATCTACGGATCCAAAGGAAAGATAAGGAGTTACCTCGTGCTAATCTGTGGCACAGCCTGCCAGCCACAGCCCTGCCCCATTGTCCGAGGAAGATCCTAAAATCCTATGGATCCATTCCCTCTCTGCCCCCCCTCCGCGCCCCGCCGCCCATCCCCCCATTCACACAAACCAGGGGAGTCGATATGATTGGCTGCGGAGCCGCTGCGAAGATCAGAAGTTACAGAGATCGGAGAGGGGGAGTTGGATCAGGCAAAGCAGCGCGACCAATTCCTCAGTCTACAGCAGCAGAATTTGGGAATCGCGGGAGGGCGAGGGAAGAGTCGGGAGGGAGCGAAGAGCAATTGGCAAGATCTTCCTTTGTCAGCTCCACAATCGCGCCCGCTCCGCCCCTCCAAGTAGTGAGAAGGGGATGCCTGGCATTGGCTGGTCCAAGCTTCTTCCCGTCAAGGAAATGGACCACAAGGTGCAGCCTTACCTGAGTCTGGCACCAGAAAGGACTCCGGTTTGGAAGAGATCTCCAAACTCTCCCCATCGCGCGCGCACACAAACACAGACCTCATCCCTCCCTTTAAAGAGCATCCCTCTTTCTCCTTCCTCTCCCCTCCGTCAGCAAGCTCGCTGGCAGAAGGAAACAGCCCTGACAGGCTACAGCTGGCATGACTTCTAATTTACACACGCACACGCGCGCGCGCGCACACGCGCGCACACGCGCGCAGCTCTCCAAAGATCAGACGCGCTCTGCTCGGAGAGAGGGTAATGTGGCAAAGTGCACAACGCAGACTTATTGCAGCTGGGGGGGGGGGTGCGTGTGAAGCAGGCAGCATGCGAGGGAAACGATTTCACTCATCACGGTACCATCCTTTGTTGGTGTATGGTGGGGCGGGGGGAGAAGAGAGAAGGGCGAGAGACGACACTCCCCTCCGGCTCACCAAGCTGCTCAGCTCCAGGAGACTCGAACATGATCTATTAAAAAGTGGGCAGAAGAAGGAGGAGAGCAGGCACCATCAGGAGGGGCGCCCTTTTTCTCGCCCCTCTTCGCCCCCCTTGGCACAGCCACCCCTTTCGGATGTCTCATTGCCTTGTCTTCCATCGGACCAATATTGGCTGGTAACTAACACGTGCAGCAGAAGATCTAATTTGGGAATGGGGGGGGGGTAGAGAGGTAAGAAGCCCGCCCTCTTCCCCCCCCCGCAAGAAGCAGGAGGGCGGGGGAGCGATTTCCCCGGAGAATCTGCGCCCAGAGCCCTCTCACCTGATCCCCCAGTCCTGAGCTCCACACCTCCGAGCAGGAGCGGATGGGAAGAAGCAGCGCTTTGCTGCCGGGCTGCTGGTCTTCCTCCTCTCTCGGTCCTTCATGATTAGTTGGTCGCAGGCGGCCGCGGCGGCGGCGAAGCAGCAGCAAGAGCGAGCCGGCTCCTTCGACAAGCCGCTCAGAAAGGCGGCGGCGCGGTGGGGGTGGGGATGGGGAGATGGGTGGGAGAGAGGAGGCGAAGGGCGGGAGGGCCCGCTGCAGCCGATCCCCTTCCCGGAGCCCCGCGAGTCCCGCTCCAGGCGAAGGGAGGGCGAGGATCCGGCGCGGAATTTCCCGGAGGCGGCAAACGCCCGAGGCCCCGGATCAGCTGCTCGCGGAGCCGCTGCCTGCAGGTGAACAGGGAGATGCGGACCGAGTCGCTGAAGGCAGGCGCTGGAGGGGGCCCTGGTGCGTCATGTTCCCGGGCTTCCCTAGCGCAAGGTTGCAAGTTGGAGCGGAGCAGGAGGCGAGGAGGAGGAGGAGGAAGGTGATGGGGACAGAAACTCTCACAGGACGGACATGGGGAGACGGAGAGGGTGAGAGAGGACCGGTTAGTTCTTAGCACTGAGGAATGAAGAAAAGTCTTAGCACCTGAGGCAAAAGGTGACAGGGGCTTGGTGTCTTCTGGCTGTGTTGGGTAGACTAGGATCCCCATCATCTTCAGCCACTATGGGCATGGTAGAAATCGTGGTCCTGCACATCCAGAGTATGCACAGTTGTAGAAAGCTGCTTTGGGGCAAAGGGGCAGCGAGGAGTTACTTTGCGCTTGCAAAGTGCAGGGCAGCAATCTGTTCAAACCTATGTCTGGATTATACCACATACAGATGGAGGCTGGCATGATGGAATTTCTACCCTGAGAAAGAAGGACCACAACTTCAGCTGCTGTCTGTGCAAACTAGCCAGGCTATATGCTATTGGAATATAGAGGATCCTAGAGACCAGACAGTGGGGATGGGGCAGTGCAGGAAAATCAATTCAATTAACAGACTAGGATTAATTTATCCTACAGTACTGTTTTGGCCTTTGCACAGGAACCTTTTCTAGTGAAAAGGAGATGAAGCAGAACATAGTTAAGAGAAGATGCATGATGTCTCTAAACCAACAGATTAGGCAGACCATAGTCATCATCCCAGCAAATGGTAAGGTAGCTTCTCAAATTACACTTAAGGAAAAGCTTCCCTGTCATACCAACCATCATGAAATGAGCTGTCCAGGGAGACAGCAGAATCTTCTTCTATGTAGGTTTTCGGAGCAAAGTTTGATGAGTTTGGTGCTATTCTACTTTTGATGGCACTACTTGCAGAAGAGGAGGGTGTCTATTTTCAATTATTCCTCCTTTCCCCTGCAACCTGAGAAAAATCATTGCAGAGGTCTGGAAGGCTATTCAGAATACTGTGGAAGGGGGTACAAAGGAGTCTAGGGAAGGAGGAGATGGTCAAAATCACCCTTCCTCTTCTATTAGCAAAGACATCTGACGGATTAAAAGCTGGTCCATGAATTGAATAGCATCACTGAGTTCATCAGTGCTAGTCTAACTCCAAGAATAAAAATTAGTCTTTAAAAGCCATTCACAAGCAAGCTGCTGGAAGATAGGCAAAGCATTCCTAATCCCAAACAGAAATACGTCAAATAAACTTTTTTAGGTAAGCTTCCAGATGCTGAGCATGTTCATTAGCCCTAGTAGCAGGGTGGATCTGATGGCCTTCTTGACCACTCCCAAATCTACTATTCTATTCTGTGATTCATTCCTTTTTTCTGTCCAGTGGTCATTGGTAACTTTTTGTGCTATGAAGAGTAATGCATGCATTACTACCAGGAGCTATACTGTTTTCCACATAGAGGCATTGCTGTGAGAAAAATACCACAACTTTCTCTATGTTTTAACTTCATACATATGCAATAAGGGCCACTATATGTAACTGCAATCATATGAATAACTGTCCTAGACAGGGACAATTTGGAAGAAAGAACTCCAACAGTGCTTCAGAAATGGAATTGACATTATATTGATGTCTATGTGACAATTCAAAAACAAAGTAATCCTGGAAATTGAGACATAACTCTTAAAATCTTTGTTAAATGTAATATCCGAAACCATGGGAGCACTATTCCTCCTAAGAAATCTTTTTCTCAATGAAAAATGCTGGTGCAGTCTTCTTGGGTTCTGTAGGGTTGGTGAATCATTCAGATATCATGTTTGATGTCAATTGTTGTTGGCAGTAACATAATTGGAGCACAGCATATTTCCTGAAACCATTGTTGTTCCACTAAGACTTCAGAAGGATAAATTCCTCTGTTGGGGATCACATTGAAGTTTACGTCAAAATAAGAAGCTGATAGGAAACATGAGAGATTACAGGGAGTGAGTGGGTTTAAAAAGTCTACAAATGCAGAGGATTGAGGGCAGTATCTTCAAATTATCATCAGAATCAATGCAATATTCTACTAACATAGATGGTATTGTAATGCAAATGTGATAGCAACTGGAAAACTTCCTCTTCTCCAAGGACTGTGAGGAAAAGATATTAGAACTTTGAGAGCTTGAGTAGTGTCAGGTCACAATATGGCTTCATTCCACCAGTTTGTAGGACTGAGTCCCCCTACCTCCACCACCACCTTTCCAAATTAGCTGACGAATATGAAACAGGCATTCCACATCAATTCCTTCTACAGTAGAAAGATAGACTTCATGCTGAAGCCCAGTGTATCTTCTCAATGCTACACTGGGTTTTCCTAAAAGTTTAGGCCACCATGATTACATCTTCCATGATGGTGAGATATACTGTACACAATACTCTTTATATAGGTACTTCTGTTATTTAATTTCCCCTTTTTCTTTTGTTAAGCAATACAGATAAGATAGTTGAGAATGCCTTTCCCAGTTAAATGAAAATACCTGCACTGTCAATCTTCCATACTTCTACTAGTTTTTAAATGGATAATAGGAGAACAAAAAGAATTTAGAACAAAATCAATTATGTTATCTGAACCATATGGAATGAATTGAGCAAAATTCTTTCCAAAGGCTATCTGAAAGAATCCTGTAGGGGACAAAGATACGTATTGTAGATTCTTTTATTCCATGTAATTCAAGTAGTATAAGCAAGTCAAAGGAAGGACTGCTGGGTCATTGGTAGAGCATATGAGGTAGGGCTGGGAACAATCCCCAGTTTGAAGCATTGGGGAGCAACCATAAACAGAAATGAATGACTCTGTTTACTTTCTGTAATGTTCACACTTGTCAAGCTCAAGTTCATTGTGTTTCTGAATCAGTTCACAGTTTTTAAATTAAAATTCTGCATGAAATCCATACACATTTTTCTGCACACAAATCTCTACACACTTTTTATTCAACTTTCCCAATATTTACCCTAAGCATTTTTCCCAATATGTGCAGTTTTATGTGCAATTTCCATTGATCTACACATTTATATGCACTTTTGATGGAGAATTGCATTGCAAAATTCAGAGAATTGTGAAAAGCAAGGGCCCCATAGGTTCACCTGTTAATTCAAGAAGCA